CAAAACCATTATACCCTGATTTCCCATTTTCAATGGGTTCAGGGTATAAATATACATTCTTCCCATTGATACTTTACTACGAATACTAATGCTTTTGCATATGAATGAGTGTAAATAGAACAGTCGTCAAATTAGACGTATGTAATGAATTTGAAAAACGAATCAAACACCTAAAGCAGAAACCGAAAACAGATCTAACAATTAGGCAAATTTATGTATTTAAATACAAGCCATATTCAGATTTGAGGCGACGGAACATAGAGATATAACAATGTAAATGGGTCGTAAATATGCACGTACTTTCGTTAGGTTGACTATAAGGCTATAAAATATTTTGCTTTAATTTGTAATACTCAGCCTGTAGTGCATTCATTTTTTAACAAAAAACGAAATTGTATAAAATGCGTTTCTATATATATTAAATTTGGAGACTCTACTTTAAAGATGTGGGAGATATATAATTTTATAACTAATTTTCGAAAAGGTTTTTTTATCGATAAAAAAATACCTGAATGAGTTAACGTTTTTTAGTGATCAGCTCGATATGCGCGCTAAATATAGGGACATTTAAAAAAAATTTGATGTCTGAGATCGACTTGTTCATACATACGGACAGACGGACGGACACACAGACGACTCGTCGCCCTGATCAAGAATATATGTACATATATACTTTGTGGGGTCCGCCAGGCCTCCTTCTGCCTGTAACAAACATTTCAACAAAACCATTATTCAGGGTATAAATAGTCAGGAAAATATAGTCTGACTCCCGGTGTGAAGACGAACATTTCAATGTCGCGAAGTGAATGAATGATCCTGATACGTGGTGCCAGAGCCTCTACTCCATGACGGAGTACGTTTGGAGTGTTATGTGGTTGAGTGTTTACTATTGATTTTGTGCAATGTCCGTCTTGTTCGTCCGTCTGACCGCCTGTCCGTATGAACGCAATTCATTTCGGCACTATTGAAGAGACTTGAAATTTGTACATATATCCGATTTACAAAGTGTCAGAAATCATATTAGTTGAGGAGCTAGGAAGCTAAAATTCTAGATGTAGATCCGGATTCAGCCTAACTTGAACACTTTTGGACCTGTAGACTTCAGATTTACTCTGTGTATACATATAATGAATAGAATCATTTTGTTATTTACAGATTTCGGATACTGTGAAAAGAACAAGCTATTTCAAGTACTAGAGACTTGTGCTTCGAAATATACACACATTAAAAATTATGATTACATTCTGAAAAATTCATTAAGATTGTCCGTCTACAAGAGAAATTACAGCGCAGCCGAAGCACTGTCGTTGCTTACTGAGCAGTTAGTTACACAAAATCAATTTTTCGATTATTCTCGATAAAAAAGATATCGGATGAGTTATCGAAAAAATAAAGCA